CTCCCTCAGGGCCTCAGAAGGAATCAACATGGCCAACACCCTGATCTCGGACTCCCAGCCTCTGGAACTGTGAGAGGATACATTTCTGTTCTCATAAGCCCCCCAGTTTGTGGTTCTTTGTTACAGCAGCCCTAGGTAACTAATACAGCCCCTAATGACAAAACACGAGGCTTTAAAAACTCTCAGCGATAATAGTTGAAAAGACCTTAAGATGTTACCCAACAAAACTAGATAACATCTTTCTCTAGAAAACAAGGTCTTCCATCCCCACTTTTCAAAGCAGTGAGTGAAGGGTTTTCACCATTAATCTTGGGAAAGAAAAGATTTTCACAATTCCTATATATTAAAATTCTATGTCGGAAACAAAATATTCCTATTCTAGCTATGTTTAACTTTTTTTTCACACCTAAAAAGTTCTATTAAAAATGCGTATTAATCAATAAGCCCGTTTCTCCGTGTTTAGTAAACATATCGCTGCTCCCCCGTCTTTTCCCTATTATTTTTGCTTTCCTCTGCCATAAATTTCTCAAAATGCAGAAATAGACAACGTTTGATATTAATTATTGTTCAGTTTTCCATTTTCTCTCCTCAAGTCTTAAAACTAATGACAGAATCACTTTGCATTCTTCATTCTCGCAAATGACCACAAACGGTCTGCAAGTATCGATTCTGGGGTGACAAATTTTAGTAAGTAGGCGAATTCGCAAACAGAGAATCCACGAGTAATGAGGACCGGCTGTATTCACTCTTACAGAACTCTGCTTCAACCATTCTTATTACAGCCGCCAAGGAAACATGGCTCATTACCCACCTCGCTGGACTCGAGGCTCCCTGAAGGACGGAACCATGTCTTATTCATCTGTAGTCCCGTACAGCTTCTAGAAGCACCTCTTACCTACGAAGTACTCAATAACTATTTCTCCTGAATTAACAAGAAGGTGCCCAGGTGGCACAAATGGTTTGTGCTCAATTACGAACCCAGGGGTTTTTGGGTGAGAGCAAGGACAGCAAAGGTTCAAGCTGCTCCGACATCTGAGGGTGGAGTACCACCCTAGTGAGTGCAGGATCCATGGCCCCTCACTAGGGATGGAGAAGAAGACCGAGCATGGTTTTCTCTTTCTCCTTCCTCGCCTCCACCTTTCCCCCTTCCTCTCTTTTCCTCTCTGCTTCACTCTGATCCAGCTTTCCTGCCATTTGTTTCTACTCCCCATCCCCTATTCCACCCAAACCAACACCCAAAGCAGCTACTCATCAATACCAGGTTGTAGTTAAGCATATACTAACAGGCTACAAGACATCATGGACAACAGAGGTCATTTCGCATGAAGAAGAGGTGTAGACCCTGGTCAAGTGGGCCCCTGTCACTGGAAATTATCCTTGAAAGGAGTCTATCTTATGTCTGCACGCCATCACACGGACTCTGGTTAACATGGCTAACGCAGCCCACGCAACTGCATGAAAAACTCTTGCGTGGCTGGCTAGTAACTCAGGCGGCAGGTTGAGGGCATGATCAGAGCTATGACTGAATCCAGACGTTGTTTCGTCACTCCATTTTTCCTCCCTCAGGAGCCAAGTGACATTTACAGGAATATATAAGGACAAAGTGCCCTCCTTTAAAGGAAAAGTAAGAACAGCAATCGAATAAGAAATTGCAAGGGTTGCCCTTATACGTTTGCTCAACTCATCATTTGAACTAAACACAAAAGTTGTATTTGTATTAACCATGCCATCTGTGCACACACTGGGTTATACGTAACAGGACACAGATGCTACCAAGAACTTTTCAGGCTCATTTTAATCTTTAATGTGTTCTTATTGCTACTGCTCACTGATACGTAATGGTTTGTGAGTGCTTCTTGGGAGCCAGGCACTGGGCTAGGTATTTTACATGCATGAATGCATTCAAATCTTTATGATAACCCAATGAAGTAGGTGTCACTAACATCTTTGTTAAATAAATGAGGAAAATGAGGCTTGGAGAGGCTAAATAAATGCCCACAGAATTCATAGAAGGTAAGCAAAGGCAAAGGAATAAGGATCACCACCCAGGGATTGTCTGACTCCAATGCCTATACTCCTAACCACTATGCTATACATTTCTTAAGCATTTCATATGGGGGAAATTAAAAAAAAAGCAGTTGATGTGGAGTCAGCTCTGATGCATGGCAACCCCATATGCGTCAGAGTAGAACTATGCTCCATGGGGTTTTCAATGGCTGATTTTTCAGAAGTAGACTGCCAGGTCTTTTTCCCTAGGCACCTCTGGGTGGACTTGAACCTCCAACCTTTCAGTTAACAGCCGAGCATGTTAACCATCTGCACCACCTGAGCACCTTAGAAAGCTCACCCCAACCAAGAGAAGGAACTTTAAGCAGGCGACCTTACCAGCTGTGATCAAATAGGCATCAGGAACTGTGATATCACACACATATGGTGGCTTGGTGGTGATCAGCGGTGGTGTGTTGAGCATGGCGTCGGGAGTGGTGGTGGTCCCCGGAGGAAGAGATGGCAGAGGAAGAGCAGTAGAGCCCTTGTGGGGGTTCTGACTTGCAGTCCTGCTGCTCAGGGCGAGGGTGGGGTCAACAGTACGAACAGTAGCAGCACTGGAATTAGATGTGCTGGGTTCAGTGGAGGTGTTCACTGGTAAATCTGTGGGCACGAAGGATGTGCCCACAAATATTGGCTCTGTGGGGAGAGATGAGGGGGTCACCTCAGAAACAAATGAAGAAGCTGATGGCAGGTACACGTTTGTTACTGATACCGTCATGGTAGGAATGATGGTGGAAAAAGAGGGTAAGACAGACGTGTGGTGATCTGTAGTGCTGACGTCATCGTCAGGAGGCATGGGAGTCGAAAACAGAGGCGACTCAGTGAACGTGGGCGGAGCATGAGAAGCAGTCAATGGTGATGTGAAGAGAGTCCCATCAATTGCAAGGTCAAAGATAGACTCAGAACTAGAGGGCGCCAGTGTGGTGACTGCAGACTCATGGGAAATGAGTGAAAACTCAAAACAGGAGGTAGTTTCAGTGAAAGCTGAGGTAAAATGAGTGTCAGAATCTGTCAGTGAAACCACTGATGCTTCAGAGAACTTGAAAGAATCAGATGGTACACTTGATAGTGGTGGCCTTTCAGAGTAACCAGGTAGAAAAGTGAATGTGTTTGAAAGAGGGTCTGAACTTGGCCAGAGCTGGGAAAATCCAAGGTCTGTGGAATTAGGAACAGAAAACAGAGGTGACTGCCAACTGACAGAGGCAGATGACGTAAATGCCTCCACCAGTGTAGAAAACGCCTGAGAAATAAACATCGACAAATCACTTGATACGGCAGACGCAGATGCCAGAACTTCTGAGGATGAAGATACCAAGCTGCTGAACTCCAGCAGAGGCGTCGAGAAAAAGCTGGATGCAAAATCCAAAACACTTCCAGTTTTGTGTTGGGAAAAACTAGGTGGTTCTTGGTCAGAGAAAAGCGAAGATTCTACCGAAGGAACCAAACTATAGGGCGTGAAAAGGCTTGAGTCTGTGATAGCAAGCGACGAGGTGTTTTTATTTGCTGTGACAGAGAAAGATGAGTCAAGGAAAACACTGGATGACATGACTTCAATTTCTATAACTGAGGAAGAGCTGAAGGATGAAGACTCAAGTGACCCTGTGACAGAAGGGTGATCATAGGGAGGAGAAATGTGTGTGGACACAACGCTACTCATGTCCACCTCAGCTGAGGCACTGAGGCTCGGTTCTGGGATTTCCACAGATGGAGAAGAAAGTGAAACTACAGGTCTTGAGGGGAAAAGTGTATTAAATTGTTGAGGAGTCTCCTCAAATTCGGAGAAGTCGGCTGTTGCTATGCTACCCAGTGGAGTGAGGCTGCTGGCTTCCAATATGGTCAAACACAAGGTCTCAGGGCCGTCCGCCGAGCCCACATCTTTCTCCAGGAAGCTTGAGGACAGAGCTTGCTGAGGTGAAGACAGACTGCAGGACACGCACCACGCACGCAGTCTAGAGAAAGGCATGGGGCTCAGGACAGGCACGTCAGCCACATGAGGTGGGGACACTGAGTTACTGGGTGGTTCGGACGTTTCACTGGAGTTGCTAGGAAGAAAAGGGTGATCCCAAACATCAGGTGATGGAGTAGAAAAGGGTACAAATACAAGGGGGGCTGAAAACGAAGTAGAATCTGTGGTGCTGCTGAAAGCAAGGGCTGTGTTTAGCACAGGTGTGGTCGGGTATATTTGTGGAGAAACGGTGCTTTTTAAACCTTGACTCAAAATGGTGGTCGCCTCAGCACGGCCATCTGTACTTGCTGCCAGAACCTGCTCAGGGAGCTGCGTGGCCTCCCCTACGGGGAGAGACGGCTGTTGAGTGAGGCCATCGCCTACCGTCTCGGGCACTGGAGACGGAGAACCCGAGGGGAGGGTTTCTGCATCCTCCACGACTGAAGCCACACTCTCCAGCAAAGTCCTGCTTGACCAGTGCCCAAACGCGTCAGTGGGATAAAGCACCAAATTACTGCCCAGAGTCGGAACCAAGCCCTTGGAAGTGGGAAAAGCTGATGGAGACAGGCTGGGACCACGGGGGGGTTCGGCATCTGTCGGGGATGGCTGCGCGGCGTGGTGCCAGGTGGATGCCACTTCTTGGTTGGGTAAAGAAATAACGGGTAAGGACGACGTCAGCACAGCTCCTGGCGCATCTGTGGGCAGCCCGAGGGGGCTGACTGTAATGTCCCGTGCAGGAGAGCGCACCTGTGAAGTGGTCCAGTGGGCATCTGGCAAAAAGTTATCCATCTCGTCGTCATCCGGGACCACCTCATTGCTCCTCACCGACACATAATTTGCCACAAAGACGCTGGGACCTGCTGAACTCTGGGCCACTTCTCCTTGGTTAGAAAAGGTGATATGAAAAGAGGTGGCAGGCGGAGGGGATGTGGCGTGGGCAGAGCTGCTTCGCGGGGGCTCTGGAGCGGGTTCTGTTAAGGCCACGTGTGCACTGCTGTGCATGGTGCTGCTCCCCAACGGGGGCTCCATGGAGTGTGAAGACACACCGTGCAGGTCCAGGGAGGGCTCGCCCGCTGAGGAGACACAGGTGGTCAGTCACAACACAGCCAAAGTCCCAACGGTAATACCCTGCTTCAGACACGAAATCTGCTCTTTCCACACACAGCCACCCGCTGTAAATAGCCCCGGTTCAGAGTTAGAAGTTAGTGTGACAGCTAGGTATAAGCCAGAAAATAC